CGGACCTCGCCTTCCCTCTCAGCGTTCTTGCGCGCTTTGTTGCGCCAGGGAGACACCGTCCTGTTCACTGGACAGCAGCTGTGAGGGTGGCGAAGTACCTAGCGTCGACGTCAGGCGTGGGGCTAGTTCTTGGAGGGCAGCAGTCTGTCGTACTTACTGGTCACTGTGACTCCTCTTACGCTGACGACGCTGAGACTCACAGGTCTACTCAGGGGTACTGTTTCAGCCTGGGTTCTGGAGCTGTTTCCTGGCGGTCCACGCGCTCCTCTTCGGTCTCGACCTCTACAGCTGAGGCTGAGATCTACGCTGGTGCCATGGCGGCACAGGAGCTGCGTTGGTTGACCTTCTTGCTCACCGACCTTGGTGAGCGGCCGAGCTCTGCACCGACCTTGTTCACTGACAACAAGGCGTCTATTCTCCTTTGTCGAGAGCCACGACTGGAGAGCAGAGTGAAGCACATTCACGTCAGGTACTTTCTTCTGCGAGAGTTGCAGAGGCGTGGACAGGCTCGCTTTGAGTTTGTGGAGTCCGAGGCCAACACTGCAGACATCTTCACCAAGGCGCTTCCGCCTTGTGACCACCAGAGGTGCTGTGTGCAGTTAGGCCTTGTTGACACTGGTTCTCGTGTTGCTTAGACTTGAGTGTACTGTTTACTTTGCTTTCTATATACCTCTGTTACTTCTTGGACTGGCCTTGTGGCCACTGTTGTTTGTGCTCAGACTGTGTGGTGACGTTGTGATCCACCCTGAGCTTCGTTTCTTGGACTGGTCTTGTGACCGTACTCGTGTGGTTCTGCTAGACACCCCTCACTTAGGCTATGGGGGTGTGTCAAATGTTGTAGCCTATAGTGAGGTTTGTCTTAGGGGGTACAAAACTTAGGGTTAGCTATATGTACCCCAACCAACATCAATGCATCATCCATTTCTCATTCTGACAGCGACGCGACGGAGGGAAAGGGACACGACGAGGGGGAAAGGGCGGGCAGGACGCGACGCTAGGAGTGGCGCTAGGCGCGGCACTACGCGCGGTAACAACGGAACCGGGACGAATGAGAGCTAGGATCAGGCTCGGGAGGCTCGAACGGAGAACGGAGGAACGGGATCCCACAGGATCCTAACCTAACTGATACCATGTCAGAATGAAGAATGGATGATGCATTGATGTTGGTTGGGGTACATATAGCTAACCCTAAGTTTTGTACCCTCTAAGACAAACCTCACTATAGGCTACAACATTTGACAAAAACCGTCGATACCGCGGTTTTGGAGGTATTGACATTTTGCGCTAGAATCGCGGTTCTGTTGATTTCAATAACTGATTTTTACCACGCGTTTGTTTCCTTTCAAATTCGATTTATTCGGGCGATTGTTCTGCCATTTGAGCAACACTGGTAGCTACACCTGCAGGAAAAATAAAACCCAATCGGAAAGGGATGCGACTCGGGAGGCATCAACCCTAAAAACAATGCCCTTTCCCGTGTTTAGGGTTGATGCCTCCCTGAAATGAGTCCAGGTCCCTAGGGGTTTTATTTTTTTCATGCATGCCCTAACAGTTTCCGGCAGCAATATAAATATTACTCTCATTCCAACGATTATTTCTGTCGGAATTATCGTGCACATTCAACGGAAAATAGTTGTCCACAGGAATTGTTGTTAGGCGCCAAACAAAGCGCGGTAATAATAGATTGAAACGAAATTGAAAACGTTTTCGAATGTTGCACGTATTGCTTCCTTTTTGTGCTGCGTCAGCTGTCACACAGTGTTTTGAGTGGCGGTACCAGACAGATTTGCGCAGTGGAACTGGGGTATCGACGGTTTTGCATACAATCGAATAGGGTTACCAGACTGTTTTGCATGCCTGTGATGTTGGCCCGTACAAATATCAGAGGTTGCCCACCTGGAGCTCTCGTCATTCCCCAAACATGACGATTCTCGCCACGTGGCCTCTATTCAGTACACGAAGGCTGTGGTGAGTTCGTTGTGCCACTGTTGCTACTCGTGAGTCGCTCGCACATTTCGCCCGATGACTGAACGTGCGGGAAATCACACACGTGAATGTGAACATGCCGAAGCACGTTCACAACTAAAACTCGAGTCTTGTTCAAGTTTGCAGTTCGCATGTTGCCAAACCCAAAGTTGACGAATTTTCGCTAATAGCTCCATGCGATATTGGCGAAACGGGTAACCACCCAAAGTTCGCACTTTATTTTGAACTTCAAAACCGACCTCACACGCCCTTAGATCGCGCGCGCGGTATTGGCATCGCCCTACTTGCATCGTATCCCCGCCGTTGACTACAGCGACTGGACACACAGAGTCAATTCGGAATGTGGATGTGGGAATTTGCTGGGCCTCTTTGTGAATATGTCAACTACATAAATCCAAAATGTTGTGATACAATAAAACACACATCCCAACCCCAACCCCACACATGTCATTCCACTGAATTTTATTCATTGTTGTCTTGTAATAACTATGTATCAAGTGACCCAAAACACGTTGGTAGAGCTATGAGGCCCAGTGACCAAGTTCTAAGGATATTATAATACAACTATGGCCTACACAGGGTGCTGCACTGGGCGCACGCATGCGCATGGAGTGCAGGTGGCATGACAGCTCGCCCACCACTCAGTACTGCTCTGCACCTCTCAGGTTTCTTGCTAAACTGGGACTGCTGCTGCACCTCCAGTGTACACCGCCATCCTCATTTATACATTCTGCTGTGCCGGGTGCAAGCGCACGCTCTGCAGGTAATACGACAGTTCGCCCACCACCCAGTACTTCTCCGCGTCACTCAGGTTCGCGCCGAACCTATGCACGGTGTCCGGCAGCGCGAACACACACAGCAGCTCCGGTGGCTCTGCTGGTGTCTCCCGCGCGCGCGCATTAGCGGTGGCAGCAGCAGCTGCGGCAGGACCACGCCGGGCGGTGGGAGCGCTTCCGCTGGCGGCAGCAGCAGGAGCGGCTGCAGGGGGGGGAGCAGAACCCGGGACGGGAATGCCGGGAGCCGTAGTGGATTGCAGGGGGGGCAGCAGGCGCGGAGCGTTGCGATCGACGACGAGGATGGAGTGGATGAGGTGCGTGCTGCCCTCTCGCTTCTTGGACACGCCGTAGCGCGTGTGCACGATGGAGAAGGCGTCGGGCGACAGCGTGATGGTCTCCCGGCGCGTCGCCACGCCCACCCACGAGATGGTCGATCTGAGAGGGGTGGAACGAGTGGGGGGTGCAGCATGTGAGTTGGGTGGGAAGCAGATGCAAGAGGCATTGCCGAAAAATGCACGCATCGGATGGAAGGAATGAAAAGCGAACGCTGATGCGAGTGGGATCGATTCTGAAAGGCGGTGCAGGAGGGATATGGCGGTGGTATGATGATGGTGATGGTGATGCGGTAGGGCGCGCTCACATGGCGATGCCGAGGAGCAGCCAGAAGGTGCCGATGAAGAAGAAGGACGCCGCCACTGCCAGTATCAACTGCGCCGCGCCGTTGGGAATGGGGGGAGGGGGGAAAGGCCGAGGGGGTTGGGGAGGGGTAAGGTGACGGAGGTTGAGACGCGAAAGGTCGAACGAGTGGGAGGGAAGCATCATTTCGTTTGGGGGAGTAGAGAGCATCACTGACATGCGCTTGCACCAGCACCGAAGGACGCGAGATAAAGGCGGTCCGATGGGTGAGGGTGGAAGAAGGTGCTCACGAAGAGAGGCGCGAGGAGGCACAAGATCCACCCGACGGCGCCGCGTTGGAAGAAGCCCGGCGCGGGTATGCGCACGTGCAGCGCGCCCTCCCTCCTCGTTATCTCCTGAAATGCCGCGTTTCCATGGGCACAATGGGAGAAGAATCGCAGCGGATGAGGTGCGAAGCACGGGGCGTGGTGACGTGTTGTTAAATAATGGGATGACGCATCGCGCTACACGATTACATCTGCTGGTGTTTAATGAAATCGAGAAAACAAAAACGAGCAGTCGACGGGCGTACCACGCGGCTCGCTTCGGGCTTGCAGTATCGTGGAGGCCACGAGGTCGCGGGAATTCCTACTGCGGGAATCCCCACTGCGGGGGGAGGCGGAGCCGGCGGGTGAGAGACAGGCGGAGGCGGATGCGCGGGCTCTGACTTGGTAGCTCCATCGGACATTTCAGCCGCCGACGCTTTCGCCATTTCATCAAGTTGCGAATCGCAAGTTGCGTTACCCATCGTCGTGGTCGGGCAATGCAGGTTGAGCAGCTAGGTGGCGCTGGTACGAAAATAGGTTTTCCAACGCTCGCAGTAAAAGGAAGTGCTGAAAAGTGATAAAAGCAGTAAGTGCTGAGTGAATTGGAAATGCTTGCTGGTGTTCAGGGCGACTGAGATTGCACGGGGGTTTTGAATGTGAGTCGCATCGCCCGTTGGGTTGGGTAGCTCTCCTACTTGGGTCAGCTCAGCACACCACAGCTGCACGTTGTGCCTCATCACCGTTGTGCCCCATCACCGAGCGGGTGGAATACCCGATTGGTCTGTCTTCGTTCGTTTTGGTGCGGTGCAGTTTGTTAATGTACAGCATATTAGGTGATGCAGAGGAAATCAGCGCGGTGTATTTCGGTCCAGCCGCTGGTTGTTGGGCTTGATTCGGTGACGTTGCCAGTCGCTCCACGTGGTGGTTGGGCCTCGCTGGCCCAGCAAGGCAGGGTTGCCCCTCGCTGACTTGCTGGCAGTGCCTCGCTGGCAGGCAACGACCTGCTTGACCGTAGTGACGCACGAAAAAGACGAACGAGGAGCGCTCAATAAGGTGCTCTTCACGCCGCTTCGTAACAGCGTTTACTCACCTCATCATAATCTCACGTTCTGCACAGCGTCATACATATGCACGTATAAAATCATGACACATGTGCAACACCTCTAGGGTCCTCCACCTAGGAAGTGCACTAGAAGTGTCAAACCATTTAACTATGCAATACAGAGTCTTGCTCACATTCCGTTCTAGGAATCATGCACTAGCCCAAGCTACAAGCTAAATCACAGACTTAAACATATTAGAGCACGAGCTTGATCGCATCATAGCACTCGATGACACAGCCGGGCATTAGCTCGTGCACCACTACATTAGACTCCACGCTTTGCTCCTTCAACGTCACTGCCACATGCAACTTACCGCTCTTCACCCCTTGTAATGGTAACCACAGCGCATGGCGCTGCCCATCCCGTAACACGTTCAAATTGACATTCGCTTTGCCTATGGACTCATCTGCAGAGAATGTGTCTCGATCTTTCACAACAAGCTGAAGAAATGTGACGTCAGGGTCCCATACAGGCACGGAGACCCTAAACTCTTCGTACCATTTAGGGTTGAGGGTTCGAGAGATATGCTTCGTTTGAAATGTCGCTTCTCCGATTTTGCCGATCGTGTAAGGATCCGAGTAACCTGTTCATAACAAATCAGGAAAGAGTTTGTCATGATCCTCCATCCAAAACAGACACATAAAACCATGTGCAGCAGCAGTACGAAAAGAAAAAGAATAGCAAGAAAGAAAATCAGAAAACGGAGAAGCAGAACGGCAGCCAAAAGCAAGAGCACAAGTTGCACTCAATCTCTCACCTGTCATGTCAGCAACGACCAGATCCGTGGCTTCGATGATCTCCACATGCGCCACCCACACCTGCGGCACCTCCGCGTCTCCTTCTGCCACCGCCCCTGCTTCTCCTACCTCTTCCGTTCCCCCTTTCCCAGCCACAGGAGAGTCAATGGCAGCCGGGGGGCTGGAAGGCCCATAGGAAGAGGAAGAGGCAGCAGGGGGGTCAGCCAAGGCTGAGAGCTCCTGCCCCGAAGGAATGCTGGTCAGTGCAGGCGCCTTGCCTGCTTGCTTCTTGGACGAGCGCGACGCCGATCGGGAAGGTGATTCTGGTGCAGGTGTTACCTGGGCAGCAGCATTACGGGCAGAGTTAACCCCCGCCTTCCCATCCCCACCCTCCTCCCCTCCTTCCACTGACTCATTCTCCTCCTCATCGGTATCTGCTGGCCCCATGTGATCCTCTACAGTCACAGCCACATGCACCCTCCCTGTAGTCACATTCTCTAGTTTCACCCACAGGTCGTGCCTGATGCCGTCCCTGAGAGGCATGACATCGAGGACAGCGATTCCTAGCGGGTCGTGCTGAGTCAGCATGTCGCGGTCGAAAACATTCAGCTTCAGCAGGAACGGGCTGCCCGCAGGCGGCCATTCCTTTACGGGCAGCGAAAACTTTTCATTCCATCGCGGGCAGAGAGTCTTGAAAATAATTTTGGTGGAGAATTTGGAAGAGCCCAGGGAGCCCTTCAGGTAAGGGTCGGACGTACCTGCATGGTACAAGTTAGGTCAAAATGCAAAGAGAGAGAGAGGGGCAGGGAGAAGGTGGAGAGGAGCACGGCATACATGCAAGAGCCCAGGGACCTTTTTAGAGAGCCCAAAAATCAGATGAACCTGCTTGAAGCATGTCGGTTGATGCTCGACTGTCAACGTGGACAATCGCTTGCATACCCTCCCTCCCCATGAGTAGTAGCCGCTGCAATGCCCATGTCATGACATGGCCTCCCTACCTCTAACAGCCCACACACTCACCGGTCTTATCGGCAGCAACGAGCGAATCAGCCCCTATCACCTCCACGTGAACGGTCGCCACTGCAATGCTGAAGAGGACCCCTCGCCCCCCAGTCTTCTTGTTAGAACAACCCGGGCACTCACCGGTTTTATCGGCAGCAACGAGGGAGTCAGCCTCGATGACCTCCACGTGGACGGTGGCGACGGCAATGCCCAGGCTCGCACCCGCGCCCGACCCCAGGCGTCTGAGCGACCCCGACTTGAACGACCAGCTGCGGCTGCCCGACCGCGGTGTTGCTGTGCCCTCCTTGGGCGTCTTCGGTGCCGCAGCCATTTCCTTGGGAGTTGAGGCCCCAGGGGCGGTTTCTTCGAGTGACATGGGCTGGGACGAGGTGGTGGTGGTGCCTGTGGTGCTGGGGTTGTTGCGGCTGTTGCGGCTGGCACGGCCGGACCCCGACAGGCCTCGGAACCAGCTGCTGCTCTTGGACGCTGAGGAGGAGGAGGAAGGCGTGAGAGACGGGGAGGGGGGGACCTCGGGGGTAGACGCGCGGGGAATGACTGTGGGAGTGGGAAGGGTGGGAGGGGTAGAGGTGGGTAAGGGAAGAGGGGGAGAGTAATAGAATGAGGCTGCTGCTGATGAGGCGTGTTTTGCGGCACTCCAAACCCCGTGAGGAGTGCATGCTGTGTGGGAGGTGCTAGTCAAGTGCTGCTGTGGTAGGCAAGGAAAAGGGTAACAAAAAGAAAGAACGGAGAAAAGAAAAGAAAAGAAAGAAAGAAAGAAAGAAAGAAAGAAAGAAAGAAAGAAAGAAAGAAAGAAAGAAAGAGAACGAGAAAAAAAAGAAGAAGAAGAAAAAAAGAAAAAAGACAAACAGACAGATAAACAAACAAAAGGAGAGAGACGTGACGTTTCGTTGATTTCGAGGTGTGGAAAAAGGCATTGTCGCGACATGATGGTCACATAAAGTGTTGTAACGGAGTTGTGCACCTGTGGCTGTGGTGGGAGCAGCCGCCTGAGCAGCATCCTCAGAGCGGGCAGGCGAGACTGATTGGGATTCGTGAGTGTACGACTCCACAGTGGTCGTTGACGCATCTGAAGCTGCTCTCTCCACTGCTCTACCACCCACAGCAGCACCACTCTCACCACCAGCACCAGCAGAAGCACCAGCAGAAGCACCAGCAGGATCGGAACCACTGCCGCTAGCCGCAATACCCCCCTCCTCCTTCACCTCTACAGCCACTCTTATCTTTCCATTTCCGCCGTCCACTAGTGGCAGCCACTCTTCCTTCCTCCCAGCCCCCCTCACCGCACTAATGTCCATCTGAGCCCGCCCGATCGCGTCATTGGCCGAAAACATATCATAGTCTTTCACGCGCAGTACCAGAGTGTAGCTTTCGGGCAGCGACCAGTCCGCAACGGGCACCTCAAACTTTTGCTTCCACTGCGGGTTGAGGTTTTTCGAGATGACCGTGGTTTGGAAGCGGGCAGCGCCGATCGACCCTTTCACATAGGGGTCAGAGGTACCGCCCGAATCTGCCGCCAGGAGATCCTTTGCCTCGATGACTTCGACCAATAGCGTGGCGACAGCTGGCAAGACGGCCGAGGCATCCTTGCCTTTTTTGGAAAGGAACTTTTTAGAGATAGCAGAGATGGTACCTGGGGGCATGTACAAAGTGGGTGAGGAGAGAGGGGAGGAGAGGAGCAAGAGCGGGAAGGCGGTTGGTGCGGGAGGAAGAAAAAGGTTGGGAAGAGCAGAGGAGGCAACTGAACGGGATGAGACGGTGTTGAGAGTGGGAGGAGGGGGAGGTGGGAGGGAGCACAGTCCCCTCAGCACCCTATTCACCTGTCCCCTCAGCACCCTATTCACCTGTCCCCTCAGCACCCTATTCACCTGTCCCCTCAGCACCCTATTCACCTGTCCCCTCAGCACCCTATTCACCTGTCCCCTCAGCACCCTATTCACCTGTCCCCTCAGCACCCTATTCACCTGTCCCCTCAGCACCCTATTCACCTGTCCCCTCAGCACCCTATTCACCTGTCCCCTCAGCACCCTATTCACCTGTCCCCTCAGCACCCTATTCACCTGTCCCCTCAGCACCCTATTCACCTGTCCCCTCAGCACCCTATTCACCTGTCCCCTCAGCACCCTATTCACCTGTCCCCTCAGCACCCTATTCACCTGTCCCCTCAGCACCCTATTCACCTGTCCCCTCAGCACCCTATTCACCTGTCCCCTCAGCACCCTATTCACCTGTCCCCTCAGCACCCTATTCACCTGTCCCCTCAGCACCCTATTCACCTGTCCCCTCAGCACCCTATTCACCTGTCCCCTCAGCACCCTATTCACCTGTCCCCTCAGCACCCTATTCACCTGTCCCCTCAGCACCCTATTCACCTGTCCCCTCAGCACCCTATTCACCTGCCCCCCCGCACCACGCCACTCACTCTAGCGCTTGGTGAAGGGCCGGGGAGTGATGATGCTGATCTACTCGGGCGTAGGGGGCGGCACTGGTAGTTGAAAAGCATGAGGGCACACCCCCCACTCACTCCCTCGCCCACGCACACCCCCCACTCACTCCCTCACCCACGCACACCCCCCACTCACTCCCTCACCCACGCACACCCCCCCCTCACTCCCTCACCCACGCACACCCCCCACTCACTCCCTCACCCACGCACACCCCCCACGCACTCCCTCACCACGCACACCCCAGTACCTCTGTCCCACGGCACTCACTCTTGCTCTTGGTGACGGGCCGCGGAGTGACGATGCTGATCTCCTCGGGTGTGGGGGGCGGCACTGGCAGGTCCAGCACAAAGGCTGCTGCCCTCACCGCGTCCACCACCACCAGCCGGTTGGGCTGCAGTTGGTAGGGGAATGGCGGAAAAGGGGAGAGCAACAGACGTGAAGGGAGACACAGAAGATGAAGGGCACAAAGGCAGTCGCCCTCACGTCGTCCACCACCACCAGCCGGTTGGGCTGCATAAGAGGGCGAGAGACAGACGTGAAGGGATGAGATGAGATGAAGGAATCTGAACACCATTCACCTGCATCATGGCAGGTCCAGCACGAGCGCAGCCGCCCTCACCGCATCCACCACCACTAGCTGGTTGGGCTGCAGGAGGGGGGCAAAAAGCATGCAACTTGTCACTTGTCATTTCCAGTCACGCAAGTCAACGCCAGTCAACACCAAAGCAGGCCCAGCACAAAGGCAGCTGCCCTCACCGCATGTGGGTGGGGTGGGAAGGGGATGGGGGAGCAACAGATGTGAAGGGATGGGATGGCACAGTAAGGTATGGCCAGCCGCAAGGCAGTGTCGTCACTGCATCCAGCAGCAACAGTCGGTTGGGTCGTGAATGGGCAGTGAAGGAATGGCATGCATGCACGTTGTGCCACGGCAGGGCATGGACTGGCTTGCAAACGCATGGTATGGCATGAAGGTACTGCTGATGATAGCATGGGGGTTATGTGACATGGCATGGCATGGCATGGCATGGCGCGGTTTGGTGTGAAGCAACAGCCATGGGCGTGAGGAGGGGGGGAGGAGGGGGGCAAAGGACACGTACCCAGCAGAGGGACGTCTTGAGCGCGTTTTGGAGCGTGTAGTCCTGCATGGCTCCAGGGGTGGCATTGGGAGCGCAATGGGATGAGGAGGGCAATGGGATGAGGAGGGCAATGGGATGAGGAGGGCAGTGGGATGAGGAGGGCAGTGGGATGAGGAGGGCAGTGGGATGAGGAGGGCAGTGGGATGAGGAGGGCAGTGGGATGAGGAGGGCAGTGGGATGAGGAGGGCAGTGGGATGAGGAGGGCAGTGGGATGAGGAGGGCAGTGGGATGAGGAGGGCAGTGGGATGAGGAGGGCAGTGGGATGAGGAGGGCAGTGGGATGAGGAGGGCAGTGGGATGAGGAGGGCAGTGGGATGAGGAGGGCAGTGGGATGAGGAGGGCAGTGGGATGAGGAGGGCAGTGGGATGAGGGGGGCAGTGGGATGAGGAGGGCAATGGGATGAGGAGGGCAGTGGGATGAGGAGGGCAGTGGGATGAGGAGGGCAGTGGGATGAGGAGGGCAGTGGGATGAGGGGGGCAGTGGGATGAGGGGGGCGCGCTAGGAATAGCACACATAAGGCAAAGCATGACTCCTAAGCACGGGGAATGGGCATGAAGCATGAGTGTAACCCAAGAGCAAGGGGCATGATCATCCCCTTGCAGCGTGACCCAACCCATTCCATCCCACACCATCCCATCCCATCCCATCCCATCCCATCCCATCCCATCCCATCCCATCCCATCCCATCCCATCCCATCCCATCCCATCCCATCCCATCCCATCCCATCCCGTCCCACCTCACCCCAACCCACCCCACCCCACCCCACCCGCTCCCATGCCATGCACGCACCACATAGGAGGCGACAAGCGGCATGCTGGCGGCGTCCAGGGCGCCCATGACCTTGATGGCGCACGACACCTGGGGGGGCAGCATGCACACCAACCCCCACCCCATCCCACCCCACTCCATCCCACCCCACGCACCACATAGGAGGCGACGAGGGGCATGCTGGCGGCGTCCAGGGCGCCCATGACCTTGATGGCGCACGACACCTGGGGGGGGCGCACGAAGCTCAGCGTCACCCGGTCCACAAACGGCAGCGAGCGCCGGAACCGCAGCCCCACCCGCATCTGCAGTGGGGAGAAATGGGGAGAGTGGGTCGGGAGGGAGGGAAAGGGAGGGAGTGCCCTGCCTGTGAGCTGCAGTCCTGCTCATAAACCCTGAAGCCACGATTCATTGGAGACCAAAAACACTTCCCATGACCCCTTCCCATGACCCCTCCCCATGACCCCTCCCCATGACCCCTCCCCATGACCCCTCCCCATGACCCCTCCCCATGACCCCTCCCCATGACCCCTCCCCATGACCCCTCCCCATGACCCCTCCCCATGACCCCTCCCCATGACCCCTCCCCATGACCCCTCCCTTCCCAACAGTCGCACCGTGCCGGTGAGCTGCAGCCCGGTGATATACGCGGTCCAGGGGATGCTAGCCATGCCCGCCACGTACGCCGTTGCCTGCACGCTCATGTTGTCCGCACCCACTATCTCCACACTCGCCTCCAGCTCCTGTTAAGAAAGGGGGAGGGGTGAGAGGGTAAGGGGCAAGGGGAGCGGGATGGCAGCAATGCCCGCCACGTACGCCGTTGCCTGCACGCTCATGTTGTCCGCACCCACTATTTCCACACTCGCCTCCAGCTCCTGGCGATAGAGGGAGTGGGGGGTGAGACGAAAGCGAAGGGGTAAGGCAACGAGGGGGTCCCGTGCTGGGCTGGGGTGTACAGTCGTGTTGTCGGCACATGTCTCCTCGTCCACACTCGCCTGCAGCACCTGGTGAGGGGCAGGGGTGAGGTGCAGACATATGAAGGGGAAGGGGCGAGGCAAGGGGGGAGTGTGGAATGGTGTCACATGTGGCAGAGCTCACTGCAGCTCCTGGTAACTGGGGTGAGGCAACAGCGTGGGATGAAAGGGGCAAGAGAGTTGAAGAGGTGGGGCAACAAGGAAGTGACAGGCTGGCTTGCACAGCGATAGGGAGGGGCGTATGGGGCACGTTGTGTGGCAGTGATCGCCTGCTGATAGACACGAAGGTAATGGGCACGGATGGGCAAGGAGGGAGAGAGAAAGGAGGAGGGAGGAAGCAGATACTCACCACATGCTGCCAGCAGCACTCACTCACTCCCTCACTCACTCACTCACTCACTCATCACACGCTCACTCTCCCACGCTCTCACTCACCACATGGTTGCGCCCTCCTCCCTCCCGGAACGCCTTGATGGACGTGATGACGGGCGCCGTGTCACCGAAGTTGGCCTTCACCACCTCCACCTTCGCCTGCGATGGGCGGGAAAAATGGATGCAGACATTGCTCACATGCGAGGCATGTGGATCGCACGTAGCAGAGACATGAGTGGCATGTGGAACGCATTTGGCAGGCATGCAACAGGCTCACGACAATTGGAGCTATGCCTAGGCGCATTGGGTGGGAAGGACCAGCTTGGGTGGGCGGCATGCATCTTAAGAGGAACCAGAGAGCAACTTGGGCAGGAGCTGGCTGGTAGAAGACTGACAGACGATGACAGACGCTGTACGTCCAACAAAAAAACGCGGATACGGAGGGATGAAGCAGAAGCAGCATGGGAGAGCATCCGACATGGGGTGGGGAGGTAGAGGTGGGTGGACGTACGAGCATGGGCGGCTTGTATCGGGAGAGGAACCAGGGCGCGACTTTGGGCACGAGCTTGGTGGACACCAGGTCGTTCAGGAAGAGCGGCCATGCCTTTGAGAGTAGCACCGACGCCCAGAAGGCCGTTTCCGCCTCGGGCATGGCCTGATGGTGGACAATGGAAAGAAAGGAGGGAGAGGGGGGAAGATGGAGATCACAGAAAACGCCAGAGTTTGGTCGGCCTTGCCGCGTTTCGTTGAAAATCAACCCACAAACACGCTGTAATCAATGTTATTCACGTGTGGATCAAACAGGTGCAGGCTGGTCAAACAACTGAAAGGCCTCTTTCCTAGTCCACCAGCACACACACTTTACAGTAAACAATCAAGATGGCTATTGAGCTTTGCTGCAGTTGTCTCACCCGGGACATGAGCTGCTCGATGCGCACGGCGGCTCTGACTGCCACTTTGAGACGCTCGTAGTGGTGCGTCCACAGCTGCATGGGTGGCAGGAAGGGCAGGGGAGCGGGGGGGGAGGAAGGCAAAGGCAATCAGGGTGGACGGTGTCACTTTCTGGGACACGTACTGGTGCGCTCGCATCAGCATGAGTGAAAGAAAAGAAAAAGGGGGACTGGAAAAAACCTTTTTATCGGTTTATTTCAAAATTCTCCAGAATTTCTAGCACCACCACCAGCAGCAGCAGCAGCAGCAGTGGCAGTGCGGGCGATTTCACATGGTCCATGTGCGGCACAGCCAATGGCATGCGTACCAGCCAGAAGTAGAGCACAGCCCAGGGCAGCAGCAGCAGCGAGAGGAGGAAGCCCGTCTGGCAGAGGAGGAATGTGAGCCCCACGCCGATGCACACATGCGCCAGCATGGGCCACTTCACCACCTCCCCCACCACCTGCCGCCCGTGCGCCGCCCACAGCTGCCGCCAGGCCTGCGCCGCCCCCTGTGCTGCTGGCCCCATGCTGAAACGGAGGGCGAGGAAGGTACGAGAGTAGGAGCAGGGAGTGAAACGAGGGAAGTGTAGAGAATATTCGCCTGCACAACCAGCTGTATTCTTCTCTACACTTGTACCGTCCTTGCCTTCCATGGAGAAGCATACAGCCGTTATCTTAGAATCACGGGGGTTATGCAGCGTACGCTCCCCCGCGCCTCCCCCGCTCCCTCCCCCGCTCCCAACCCCGCTCCCTCCCCCACTCCCTCCCCCACTCCCTCCTCCGCTCCCTCTCCCGCTCCCTCCCCCGCTCCCTCCCCCGCTCCTTCTCCCACTCCCTCCCCCGTTCCCACCCCCTCTCCCTCCCCCGCTCCCTCTCTCCCCCCCTCCCTCCCCCCGTGACTCACTTGTGAATCGCATGGTCGATAGCAGCCACTGCGCGCGCTCCCATTCCCTGCCGTCTGAGCCAATCAGAAGCCACGGCGAGAGCTGACTCTATGGGGTTCTCTGCTGCTGGCGCAGTGGACGGCGAAGATGGAGAATCTCCGGCCTCACGCTTATCACCGCCATCGCCATCAGCAGCCCCGCGTACTGCCTTACTGAATCCCTTGGCTGACTCGTCTGTTTCTAAGGGAGGAAGAGCAAAGGCAACCCTCTTAGACGTGCCTGCTTGCCCCGCATTTACTCTCCCCTCGTTACTCCTCATCTCGTCTGCCCCGCTGCTTCCAGCCTGGACGGACTCGTTAGTGAGAGACTCGTCAATAGCCTTTCTATAAATGCTCCCTGTCGCTTCACTGGCGTCGGGTGCAGACGAAGGGTCTGGAGCAGAAACGGTGGCGCTGGGAGGAGCAGCCGCGGTGGCGCTGGGAGGAGCAGCGGTGGCGCTGGGCATATCAGGTCGGACAGCGGATGCACTTTTCGAACGAACATCTGTTTCCTTCGCATCCGCTGTTTTCACATCTGCGATTGTCGCAGTCGTCGCCACACCCGCTGCTGGCACACCCCGGTTCGACGCGGACGAAGCAGCGGACCCTGACGACGACGGAGGTAACCGCCCGCTGCGCGGAAGCGAGGAAGAACGGAAGGAGGGAGTTGGGTTAAACGTGCACTCAGGACTTGCGCAGTGTTGGCGTGTCTAGTTAGCTTATAAGCGCGGAGATAAACAGGGAGGACTTCGCCCTTCCAGCCTAAGGTCCACGAAATAGGCCCTCCTGAACTATGGATTGGCATTAAATGGCGCTTCAGCATAACATCAGTCATCAATGAAAAGTGCTGTCCTAATATACCTTTTTTGGGACGAAGACGCGAGTTTCTGCTTTAAACTGTTGTATTCCTCGTCATCTCCGCCGAATCCCGGTAGGCCTAAGCTCCCGTCGCGAAACATGGCGGCTCGCAGCTAATACCTCCTACATCGACGGCTTCAAGGCTTCCAACCTGCACTCGCTGGTAACGCGCTTAGCACGGCGCGCGAAGGACTGAAGCTTGAGTGAAGGGTTACGGAAGAGGATACGGGAAAGAAAGGATACGGAAGAGGAAAAGGATTTGGTCTGGAAGGGCGGAGTGAAATGCGTCCCTACTACCTGTAGTGGACACTCACATGACCTACAATAGTGCAGTGTGAAAATGTCTCCGTCGCTTGTGTAGTGTGGAACCTCCCTGCTCTTGGCCATGGGTGAGGTGTGGTCCATCCGTGTGATCCGAGGCGACCCCAAGGGGAGCTTGCACGTTTGTGCGTGTGGTTTCGTGCCGCATCGACGGCCTTATCAAACCAAGAGAAATCTCATCCGTCGAAATTCCTCGATTCTCACAACGTACTCCGCATGGCGAGTTGTAGCCTTACACCATCCCCTTTTACAGCTTGCGAGCATATTAGTGCACTTAATCAGGGTATGCATATACTCTTACAGTTTACCACCTATCGCATAGAATCTCCGATTTAAAAAAAAAAAAAAACCAGCCAGGTGTGGTTAACACCCAGAGGGGTTTCCCCCCCTCCTTAAAAAAAAAAAAAAAAAAAAAAAAAAAAAGCATCTCCGATTTACACCAGAATAGCGGACAAGCACATCGGTCAAATACATTACGTGTCATATCTATTTTGACATGGTTCGTTTACTCTGTAAGACATCATGGACCGATCTTCTAGGTTAAGGTGAAAACCATTCGCGTAGGAACACAGTGTCAGAATGAAGAATGGATGATGCATTGATGTTGGTTGGGGTACATATAGCTAACCCTAAGTTTTGTACCCCCTAAGACAAACCTCACTATAGGCTACAACATTTGACACACCCCCATAGCCTAAGTGAGGGGTGTCTAACAGAACCAAACGAGTACGGTCACAAGACCAGTCCAAGAAACGAAGCTCAGGGTGGATCACAACGTCACCACACAGTCTGAGCACAAACAACAGTGGCCACAAGGCCAGTCCAAGAAGTAACAGAGATATATAGAAAGCAAAGTAAACAAGTCTAAGCAACACGAGAACCAGTGTCAACAAGGCCTAACTGCACACAGCACCTCTGGTGGTCACAAGGCGGAAGTGCCTTGGTGAAGATGTCTGCAGTGTTGGCCTCGGACTCCACAAACTCAAAGCGAGCCTGTCCACGCCTCTGCAACTCTCGCAGAAGAAAGTACCTGACGTGAATGTGCTTCACTCTGCTCTCCAGTCGTGGCTCTCGACAAAGGAGAATAGACGCCTTGTTGTCAGTGAACAAGGTCGGTGCAGAGCTCGGCCGCTCACCAAGGTCGGTGAGCAAGAAGGTCAACCAACGCAGCTCCTGTGCCGCCATGGCACCAGCGTAGATCTCAGCCTCAGCTGTAGAGGTCGAGACCGAAGAGGAGCGCGTGGACCGCCAGGAAACAGCTCCAGAACCCAGGCTGAAACAGTACCCCTGAGTAGACCTGTGAGTCTCAGCGTCGTCAGCGTAAGAGGAGTCACAGTGACCAGTAAGTACGACAGACTGCTGCCCTCCAAGAACTAGCCCCACGCCTGATGTCGTCGCTAGGTACTTCGCCACCCTCACAGCTGCTGTCCAGTGAACAGGACGGTGTCTCCCTGGCGCAACAAAGTGCGCAAGAACGCTGAGAGGGAAGGCGAGGTCCGGGCGAGTACAAGTCATCAGGTACATGAGGCAACCCACAAGCTCTGCGTAGGGACCACTAGGCTCGAACGGCTCGTCAGGAAAGGGTCCAGTGAGTCTGTGGTCAACAGCAAGAGGTGTGCGATGTACTGTGGAGTGCTGAAGCCCGAACCGCTGAAGGACCTGCTGCACCATATGTGACTGTGAAAGTGTAATGGTGCGAGCAGCTCTGTCCCTGGTGATCTGCAGGCCAAGGTAGTGGTGCAGCTCACCAAGATCAGTGCAGGTGTGTCTCTTCTGCAGTTCGGACTTCACGTGTGCCAAAGCAACCCTGTCAGGGGTGGCGAAAACAAGGTCGTCAACGTAGACCAGAACAAAGAAAGGTGTGGGGCCACGACGAACGAACAGCGACGGGTCAGCAGAAGACGGCTGGAACCCAAGGTCAGACAGGGTAGAACGCAGGGTGTCGTGCCACTCACGAGGAGCCTGACGAAGACCGTAAACCGGTCGCCTCAGCCTCCACTGGGTCCCAGGAGGGAAAGAGCCAGTGAAGGCAGAGGGACGACGCAACCAGACCTCCTCGTGAAGACTGCCCTGAAGGAAAGCAGTAGAGAAGTCGAGAGAGTGTAACTCGTAGTCTCTCTGTGCTGCTACGTGTAGTAACACCCGAAGAGTGGTCATCTTCGGGGTGGGCGCGAAGGTCTGAAAGAAGTCAACTCCCTCGCGCTGACTGAAGCCTCTAGCCACGTAGCGCGCCTTGAAGACCGGAGGAGATCCCGGTGGCCGCTTCACCCTGTAGATCCACATGCCATCGACTACGTTCGCCCCCGGAGGGGGAACCTCATCGACGTAGGTGCCTGTGGATCTGTAGGAGGCCATCTCTGCGTCCATGGCAGCTCTCCACTGAGAGGCCCAAGGCCCTGACACTGCCTCAGCGTAAGTGCGAGGAGTCGGAATGTCAAGGGCGTCGGGGTCACCCTCAGGGGCGAGGAGCATGGCACAGAGATGAGGGGAAGCGGCCGCCAGGAACTCTAGCTCAAACTGCCTGTCCTCTAGGGCGTCACAGCCAAGGGCAGACACACCCCCGACGGCCAGAGGACTGGAAGGAGGAGCAGCCACAAGAGCGGTGGCGAAGTCAAGGCGGCGGGTAGAGGCAAACTCAGTGACTGCGGCAGTAAGAGCGGACACAGAGGACACAGAGGCACGAGGGTGGGTAACAAGAGAGGCGAGAACACGAGAGAGAACAGGACGGTACGTGCGGTAGTAGTCAGTGACAGGAGAAGGAAGCGACACAGTGAGGGCCGACTCAGGAGGAGACGGAAGCACAGACGGAGACGGACGAGGTGGACGAGAACAAAGGAAGGCTGTACGAAGGTCAGTGAAGGGAACAGGAGACGAGGGACGAGCACGAGGGGAGCGACGAGAGGCCCAAGTCTGAGAAGGAGGAGGAGACAACGAAGACTGAGAACGAGGGAAAACAGCGGGAGAGGGGTCAGGAGGAGGAAGCGGAGGACCAGAGACGGGAGGAGAGGGGGAGGAGGAAGGAGAGGGAGACGGGAGACCAAGGGTCCGAAGACCCGAGACAGGAGGAGGAGACGGCAGCAGCTGCTGCTGCTGCTGCTGCGGCTGCTGCGGCTGCTGCTGCTCCAGCGGCTGCTGCCCCTGCTGCTGCTCCTGCTGCTGCTCCTGCTGCTGTCGCTCCTGCTCCTCGAGCCGCTGCAACTCTCTCTCCTCTCTCTCCAACTCCAGCTGCTCCTCACGAGCACGGCGAACACGAGCCTGGAACCTGGTCGGGTAGGGGTGGGGGGAAGGAGTAGTGTCCGGGGCAGCGGCAGCCCCAGAGTCGACCTCCGAAGCACCAAGCACACCACCCCCAGAGGCAGCACCAACACCAGCTCCAGACCCAGGCTCTCCAGAAACCGAAGGGACACCCTCACCCCCAGACGCAGCACCCCCAGACCCAGCACCAGCACCCCCAGACTCCGCACGACCAGTACCAGCCCCCGGAAGACAAGAGTCCTCTGCAACCCGCGGCTCAGCTCCAACTCCAGCACCCCCAGAACCAGAGACCTGTACAGGGACAGTCGCAGGACCAACCTCCCGAGAGGGAGCACCTGCAGGAGGCGGCGAGGAAGACTGTGGGGAGGGAGGCTGTACAGGGGGGGCTACCGAAGGGGGAGGGCTAGCCTGAGACACACCAGACGGGGCTGGACCAGGGGGGGAGGCTGTACCGGGGGAGCAGGCGGGGGAGCGGCGGTCAGGAAGAGAGGGGGTTGAGGGACCGGGAGACCTCGACTGGGGTACCTGACGTAGTAGGGGGTGGACTCCTCGAAACGGACGTCACGGGAGTCAAAGAACCGGTGAGAGGGAGGGTGGTAAAAGGTGAAGTCAGAGGAGTCCTCAGGGAAACCAAGGAAGACACAAGGAACGGCGCGAGGCGAGAGCTTGTCCGCGGAGGTGTCGCGGACAAGAGCCAAGCACCCCCAGACACGAAACCTCGACGCGACACCAGGGGACCCTGTCCAAAGACTGGTCGGTGAAGCCTCCGGCCGAGAGACGCGTGGCCAGAGGTTCAGCTGGTGCGCGGCGTACCTGACCGCGTATGTCCACAGGAAATGGGGGGCACGGGCGTGAGTCAAGGAGGTGCGGGCAATCTCCATGACCAGGCCTATGCGACGCTCAGCAACCCCATTCTGCTGTGGGGACTCCGGAAGCGTCCAGGACTGACGAATGCCCTGTTCGCGACAGAATCCAGCGAGAATGCCGGAGCGAAACTCGCCCCCGCGGTCGGAGTGGAGACAGCTGACACGACGACCACGAGTGTCCTGGGTGGTAAGCAACCACCTGATCAGCGTAGAAGTCACCTCAGACTTCCTCGCCAGGGGGAACACTGTGGTGTAGCGGGAGTAGTCGTCAACGACCACCAAAAAGAAACGCTCACGCTCAGGGCCAGGGCGAGGAGAGGGGCCCCAGACGTCCAAGTGCAGCGTCTCAAAAGGCTCGGTGGCCGGACGAAGGGAGGAGGAGTGAGGGGTGGCGCGCAGCCTACCCTCGACGCAAGGACCGCACGGTGGTGCAAGGGACGGCGGCAGCGACGGCAAGACACGCGGGAGACCTAAGACAAGACGCTGACGAGACATAGCGCGAAGACGAGGAGGAGAAGGGTGCCCCAACCGGTGGTGCCACAAAACGGTGGGGTGGGCAAGCGACCGACAGGAGCACGACGCAGCGACCGGACTAGACGGAGGAACCTGACAAGACACAGCTACCGGGGGGGGCGGAGCAACCTGGTGAGACGCGAGGA